ATTTTATGACAGAGGTCTGTGCCTGTTAAGTCTCTGTATAATTGTCATGTAACTTACTGATTGTTACCAATGGGTCATTGCTTTGCACCTTGTCTTGCTGAAGTACAGTAAATCATTAGTGGGACCCATCTAGATACAGCATCATCTTGGGCATGGTGAACGACCTCCATCACTGGTTTCTGGTTGTATGTCTTAAAATGGGATCCCTAAACCCATCCCATAACAATTAGACATCTCTTAAATAAGGGGCTTTGAATTATGAGTGGACAAAATAACTTTATATGCTACAATTCAGGTCATCTATCCCAGTGAGAAAAAAACTGTTCTTCTTGATTCATCGGGAGAATCAGAGCATAAGAAAAAAAGGTGTTTGGAGTCGACCAGGTAAAGTTTAGATAGTTATATTATAGTATTGTTCCGTCTTCCCAAAAGCTACTATATAAATACTTAAACAACACGATGCCCTTATATGTTTCAAGAGCCTTAACGAGAAAGAAAGGACTGCCAGTCTCAAGGTGGCGCTGTGAAACAATGCCTCACCCACTCCAACAAGATGCTACATCTTGTGGTGTATTTGCACTGACGGTGTGTATACGCAAATTTGCTACATATCTGTCATAACACTTTTCAGCATAGGTTGAAGATTAGCACTAATTATTGTAACAGAAGGGTACTGCTTTTGATGTTGAGTTACCATAACATAACATTTGATTAGAGAAAAACATGAGTGTGTACTGGGTGATTGTTTACCACATGACATGACAGTAATACATTATTTTGCTTTAGTTTGCAGAGCTAATATTGGCTGGCAGCCCAGTCAGTTTCTCGGCTGATCTGGAATCAGGGAAACGAATGAGATGGGACATAGCAACCACTCTGATCTGTGAATCTGGTAAGTAGTTAACATTATCAGCAAGGATGCCAGTAGTACATAGTTCAGTCCCATATTTAAGTAGCATTTCAGACTCATAATTAAACTGATTACCAGTACAAATATATTTGTTGTACACAATATGTTGGCAAGAAGTAATTAATCTCACTCCTGGAACAATAGAATGAAGGTTGGTGTAGTCAGAGAACCCTTTTCAGCTTATGAGCACTTATGCATCTTTACAACTGTAAATGAGAAAGAGGAATATGTTGGGTTCATGTGTAAATTAGACTACTTCCTCTACTAACCCTATGGTTGAATCACCAGATGACCTTAGCAACTTATATCATTTATGTGGGGAGACAGAATTACATGAAGAGTCAGCTGCAGAAATTCTCTGGGTAATTATTACATTATGGCTGTACATAAGTTTATTACTTCATAAGAGAGCTACAGTATTTTCATATGTTTCTTTGTAGTGATCGACAAGGTCTTAACTCAAAACTTTTAACATTTGTTCAAAACTTTTAACATTTGTTAAGGTACATTTGGGCTTAAACTCAAGTATGGATATGAATATTAGTATCAATATGAATATCAAGTTTTGATTTTCTATTTCCCCTCAAATACACAAGTTTTGCACTTTGTTCATTACTATTTTTATTACATTAACTTGAAAAAAGTGGACGTTATATTCATAAGGCATTATGAACATGGTTATAAATATTTATAAAAAAGAATTACACTGAAGTACACTTTATAGCCATGTTTATTATACATTATGAATTGTTAATATAATGCATTATAAGTAGTGTTAATAACATGTTATAATGTCAGTGCCAAAGAAGTCATTCCCAGCTTGGAGACTGCAAAGTAAAGACAAATACCAAGCTAACGGTGGTGTACATTGACTTTCCCACATTGGGTAAAACACTGATGGCAGCACTAGTTTAAAATCTGACATTTGAAGCCTGTAATGTGCTTTATTGTGAATGTTTTAGTGCTTCAGTAAATCCTTCAGTAAATACTTCAACTTGAAGCCTCACTCTTAACACTGGAGGAGGCTTTAGTACAGTACGCTTCACTTTACTTAGAGCAGACAAATACGACTTATGAGCTCTTATAATTTGTTATGATCAGTACTTATAATGTATTATGTTAACAATTCATAATGCATAATAAACATGGCTATAATGTATAATGCATTTTTATAAATATTTATAGCTATGTTTATAATGTCTTATAAATGCATTATAACATGTTATGAATGTGTTTATAGATGCTTACAAAGGTGACATTCATAGAAAGTGTTACCAGTTATCTTTGTTTTACACAGACTGAAAAAATATTGTCCTTTCTCTCTCTCTCTCTCTCTCTCTCTCTCTCTCTCTCTCTCGACTCTTTGCTTGTGAGCTTCTGTGTTTGTGCAAACGTGTCAACCTGCTGAGATTATTTTTCTCTAGTTTTATCCATTCTTTAGTTTATATTTCCTTCGTCATGTTCCTGTAATCCTGAAAGACATTTTCCTATTATGTTTTATAATCTATTTTACTTCTGAAATTCAATGTGTGGTCTTCTTGTCTTAGCTTTTGGGGTATATGATGTCACAGAAATTATGAATGGACATTGGTAATTACCCAACAGTGTTTACAGACGTTTGACCAGCAGATGTCACCAGAGTGCAAACTTTAGTGATTACTTAAATTGCTGAGAGCTCCAGAGAGCCTCATTTCTCCCATTAACTACATATCTAGTCTGGATTCTCTATGACTGAAAAACAAATAAGGAGAAAGTTCTTCTCACATCCAAGCAACTTTGTCCTCTCAATGAACAGACCAAATCAGAATGTTTGTAAACAAAAGGGTAAAGGCTGCTTACACTTCCAGATCCATTTAGCATGGAAGCAGCTCAGTTTACGGCATGATTTACAGTAAATACAGACATAACCGATAAAAGTGGATATAACAGTACAATTGTTTTATGTTTGAAAGCTCTAATGCAAAATACAAACCTGTTTTCAAAAACGCTGTGCAAAATGTAAATAAAAACAGAATGCAATGATGTGCAAATCATTTAAACACAATAATTGAAAATAGTACAAAGACAAGATGTCAAATGTTGAAACTGAGAAATTTTATTGTTTTTTGAAAAAAATATGCCCATTTTGACATTGATGCCAGCAACACGTTCCAAAAAAGTTGGGACGGGGGCTGGTAAAGTTGTGTAATGCTAAAAAAAAACACCTGGTGGTTAATTTGCAACAGGTAAATAACGTGATTGGGAATAAACAGAGCATCCCAGAGAGTCTTCCAGAAGTAAAGATGGGGAGGGGTTCACCACTCTGTGAAAGACTGCACGATCAAATAGCGCAACAATTCAACAATAACGTTTCTCAAAGTAAAATTGCAAATGACTTGTACACATTTGCAAGATGGCTGTGTGTACTGCATAGGTTGTGCACGACTTCAGAAATTAATGTGACACGTCCATGACCTGCAATACAAATATGAACAGTGGAGGCACCACACTCTTACATAATGTCAGCTGCAGACTGAATAAACCATGAAAACAGCCACTTCTGCCATCTGTTTCTCTTCTGGTCTATGATTTCTCACGATAAACAATAAAACAGTTGTCCCAACAGTTCCCAGCATGCTCATTGTTTAACTAGTTGGTCTAAATCAGAAGACGTAATCAAGAAAGGCATTCTTGTATCAACAGGGGTAGTGTTTCTTCCCTGACCAGCTGCCCTAGCGGATGTAGCTTTTAATTCTACAAATACAGAACGTAATTCCAAGAAATTCCATTCCATTTTCCATTCTGAAATTGCTGCCTGCAACATGTTCAGAAAAAGTCAGGACAGGGGTACTAGGAACACTGTAAACAAATTAAGAAACAATCTCAAACAGGTGATGCAAAACCTAGTCCTTTATGACCAAGGATGGTTTGAGGCTCACCTGTTTGCCGAAATTGCATCAGTATATCAATAAACTTCTCTAGGCTTGAGCTCGTCAGAATTGGACTGATGAGTAGTACAAATATGTATTGTGGTCTGACATGCCAACCTTTCAGGTTATTTATGGAAGTGACGGAAGAGTATGTATTAGAGCCCATGGGTAACTTGCACATTTGTGCACCATTAACGCTGTGAGATAAATATATATTTTAGAGCAACATATGCCGCCTTCCAAACAACGTCTTTTTCAGGGATGCCAGTGCTTGCAGACGCATTACAACAGTGTGGCTGCCTAGTGCTAGACTGGCCTGCCTTCAGTCTCCTATTGAAAATGTGTGTTGCATTATGAAGCGCAAAATATGACAACTACAGCCTTGTACAGTTGTGCTGCTGGAGACTTGTAGAATGGAAGAATTTTCTGTGTTCAAAATTGGATCAATTTGTGTCTGTTACAAGGAAAGATATCGCAGTGGTAAACATGCTCCTGACTCTTTTGGGGCTGCACCAACAGGCCATAACTTACTGACATAAGCTGTGCGACATGTTTGAATCTTAAAACGTTAAATGCTACATTTCACTACGAAGTCCGGCACCACAGCATCTTGATGTTCACAGCTGTTTTGCGCTGTGTGTGAGAGAATGTGAGTGATGGAAGGTCTGGATGAGTTCTTCAGTTTCTCAGAAACAAAAGGAAGTATTGCTCCAATGCTTCAGTGACATAACTGCCAATAAATGCAGCCTTCCTCAAGAGCATTCTTGGCTTTGACACACAAATAAACTCTGTTAAGCTAAGAGAACGAAGAGGAGGAAACTAGAGGGCGGAGTCAAAAACTATAGACCATGGCAGACAAAAAGATCAGCCGTTTCAATAGGTTTAATTGGTTGGGGAAAGGAAAGAAAAAGGAAAGCAACAAGCCCCAAGTATGTATAATGCTGTACATCATTCAGATACCAACAACGAGGTTTAACACAAGTACAGTTAAAATGCAGTCAAAATGATGAGCACATGCAATTCCAGTGACACAATCGTTTGGCTCTTACACGTCTCATTACTTACACAACCACGGGTTGTGTTATTAGGATTGCAGCACAAGAACCAGCTTTCTCAAATGCATTATAGAAATAACAGTTCCTTCTTTAAACAAATGCTTTGTAAATTAAAGGCAACCACCACATTTTTAAGATTATTTTATGTATTTAATAAATGAAACTGTTGTCTACAGGAAAATTCCCAGTCACAGCAATATTTTAAGAGACAAATCTTACATTTCAGCTGTCAGTAGTAGACTTGGTTAAAACATTTTCTTCTCGCAGATCCAAAGCTTTTTATTCTCACAGGAAGAATCAGCCCAGTTTGATGCATTATCTTCCTTATAGCCACTTACAGCACAGTCCTCATTTCTGTTAGAATCATTGGGTTCTCCTCTAAACCAGTACCTGAAAACAAAGAGAATCAGAATGTCTTCAATGTTTCTCACCCAGAGCTGCAGACTCTTATAAATCATGTAATGTGGCAATAAACAAAATGATAAAATTAAAAGTAAAACATGAAAAATAAAGAAAGACAGAAATGTAACTATTCAATGATTTATTTATTTGTTTGTTTGTTTATTCTTGTGATGCTACTGGCATCGTGAAACAAGCATTGAAATTTAAACGGTCACTCTCATTCATCAGAAAAAAACTGTTTTCATGGTCATAGCACGAGCAGAAAAACAAGGCGTAAAATTGCGTTGCAGGCATATTTTTAGTAATTTCCTGACCAGCAGCACAGGCTCTAAACCCTCTAACCCGGCATAGAGCAGCGCAGCTGTAAACAGAGTGAATACATGATCAGAAGGTCCCACCATTGGAAATCAAAACATAATTGGTTGATTCCTGTGTTACTTCATAGTTATGTTGAGGGTCAATCTAACACATTAGGACTTCTCTTCAGCTCCTGAAGTCCTAACCAAAAGGAGAGATTGCTTAGCTGTATCTACCTAGATACTACGGAGAAACAAATCCAGATTGGCCGATTTTCTGCGGGACTTTTTAAGAATATAACCGTTTTGTTTCCATCCAAAACTTAACAGTAAAACAAGAACAGTGCTGCAATACTTGCAGAGTTTAAATACAAGCCTGATTCTATTGAATGACAATGGACTACAAATGACAGACATGCAATTGTAGTTACTAAAAATCATAAGGCCTAGAAGGCCCTGAGGGTATTTTGTAATGAATGTACGACTATATGCTGAATATAATCATGTTGTTGTGTAAAGGGCTCCTACGTTGGAAAACTAAACTTTCCTTAGTTTCTTTGGAAGAAAAGAGTTTGATGTAGAATATAAACACTGTTAGAGTTTCAACGCATACTGCTCATTTCTCAGTGCTTTTTGAATGAGGCACAATACAGGGCAGCCAATCAGAAGAGAGATTGCATATATCAATCTTAAAAGCACAGTAATTAAACCAACCGTGTTTGCTTGTATGCTTTTATTTAACCATTGTTATTGTCAAATGCTGTCTGCATAGACATCTTCGTTCACAAAGCAGGAGTCTAAAGGTGAGTAAAGATAGTTAGTTAGCCACGTGCCTGCCCATGACATTCCTCATAGTTGGTTTATTTACTTCACGTTAAAATTACACTTGGCTCTGGCAACAGTGTATTAAAAATTAAGCATAAACAAGCAACTAGTTGTGGCGAGATTCTAAACACATCCTCTACAAAGAATACACTTCTTGTGTCTTATATTTTAAGGCAAAATTAGTGTTTATTAACATATTGAAAAAAAATTAAAAATTACGGCACATTTTTTTATTTATTTATTTTTTTGAACGTGAATAAATGGAAATTGCACACTAAAATTTGCAGGAAAATGATATATTTAAGTGTGTTCTCAGGAGAGGATGTGTTAGCTTATTTTCACTTAGAAAATCAACACAACATGTCATTTGACCAGTAGAGTTTAATTCTTTCCACACAACTGTAAACTGACTTTAATCTTTACTATTATTTATTCAGTGCCATGTATGTTTATTATGCCATGTTCTTTATTTACTTCTTTATTTATGTAATTCATTTTGTCAGAAAAGTTAAGAGTTCAGTTCAGTCGATCTCTTACCCAGTGGTCAGCGCTGAGTCATCCACCCATTTCCAGACCCCCTCTGAGGCCTGGTCAGTCAGACCAATCCAAGCTTGATTTTTATTTCTCAACTTGTCAACAAAGTCCTGTTGGATTTTTACAACAGGCAGCACATTTTCAGTGAAACAGTCACAAAATAGAGAAAGTTCAGTTCAATTTAAAAGATTCCCCAATCGAAACAGAGCAGCTCTCAGCCGCAAAGCACTACGGAGATGTCCAGCTTAGTGGAGACAGAAAGAGGAGAACGTTAGCAGCACACATGAGGAACATACTTCAAATGGCCCAAATGGTTCTCTTTCAGATGAACTAAAGAAAACAAAGTTATTATCAGCTGCCAGACATGACCTGACATCTCAGCTTTTCACAGCTCAGCTTCAGTCTGAGGGAGCAGCTGTTTAGCTAGCTGATTCTCGTTAAACAGGTACTTTTTTTATACGCTGTACAGAGCTGTACCACTTCATATGAGTAATGAGCCATCAGAGGCATCAGTACATCACTCAAACAGAGTTTACAAAGCGTTGTGCTGTAATATTCAGTATCATTGTTTGACTGTAGAAAAAAAACGGTAGTTACCGTTAAAGTAGTGCCTGCACTGTCACTAACTTAAAAATGCATTTGCAACAATACATTTACTCCTTGATCTCACCTTACAGATTAAACTACATCATCAGAGACGTTATTCAGTCAGTTCATCACAAAATGCAGTCTGATTCTACTCTCGCTGCCTCTCTGTCTAATACAGGAAAAATACATTTCTTATTGTGTATGTGTGACGATGCGACAGAATTCAGATGCTCGTGGATGAAAAATGCAAACAGGGGTTTATTTAAATGCGACAGAGGCATGGTCAAAAAACAAGCGTGGGTCATAACCAAAAGGCAGCAAAGTATCACCGAAGTGATCATAACAATAGGCAGCCAAAACAAAAGGAGTGAGCAGAAATCGTCATCAAAAAGCAGGCAAAAAGTCAAAACACAGATCCAAAATCAGTCAGCAAAGGTACAAGAAGGGACAAGCAACAATCAAGGTCAGTTAAACAAAGAATGGGTCATAACAGGCAGTAACAAACAGATCAGAGAAACGCTCAGTGAGTTCAAAGAGAAACAAAACCTCACACTGGCTAAGACTAAAGCCCAGGCTTATATGCTAGACTAAATGAGTCATATGACAACAAACACAGGTGCACATTTTTAATACTCAGGGGATTGTGAACGCTGACAGGTGTGTGAACATATGATCTCCCAAGGGATTGTGGGCAATGGAGTCCGTTCTGGACTGAGTCTGAGTCTGCCCGAGGCGTGACAATATGAGATGATTAAGATGATTACCAGAGGAATATCACAGCAAAGAAAATGAAAGCTGGATAAACTGCTGTTGTTAATGGTAGAAATGAAGAGTAGGTGATAAATCCCATCTTTCATAAAACTGCAAACTGCATGTCTGTATGTTTTCTCAGTGACGGTAAAACTGTAAAATTACAGTCATTGAATTTCTTAGACGTACTGTTTTACTGAGTTACTGAATTACTGTGTGTAGTGTAGTTTCACTACACTAGTTCAAGTAGTCATTCTGGCTCACAGTATTTTGCAATAATAATAACAGTAACAACCATTACTACGTGAAAATCTAAATTCTATTTCTGTAAATTAACACCAGTAGTGTTAAAATTACATTAAAGCTTTTTTCCAAAAATGAGTATTGATGTTCCATTTTACCATACTTTAACAGTGAAAATACCTTTTTTTCAGTGTACAGTCAGTAACTGTACATCAGAATGTTAGATGAACCTAGGGTTAGGCAAACAGGCCAATATTTATCATCATCAACTGTGAAAAATTATGTCACAATATGTTTTTGTGAGCAGATTACAGATATAATCAGTGCTTCAGGACAACTGCATGTTTCATTACAAAGACAGCATAATTGCTTGTGTTTAATCAGATCTACTGCAGCGTAACATTGTGAAACACTGAAAAAACGTTGTTACAGTATTTTTCTCACCTGCTCCCCTCTGCTGTTTATGATCACCAGGTCAGCTCCCCTCTCTCTGCAGTAGCTCCTACTCTTATTCCAGGTGTTAATTTCTTTGGAGATGTAGTAAAAACTGCCATTGTATGTCCATATAAACTGGCCGGCTTCATCCGTGCATGGAATTTCCAAAGATAAAATGAGATGCATTAGAGCATAGAATATCATCGCTGTCAGAACAAAACCTCAGATCTCCAAACTTTATTAAAAAAAATGAACAATTCGTTCTTAACTTTTCTTGTAAGTCAATGCAACAAGATTTTATTCTACACCATTGTTGATGATTTCTAGTGGTCTTTTTGTCATGTATATAGTGCAAATGGGTATTAGAAGTTTTCAATTTATTAAAAAAAATAATAAAACAAAATACAAATATTATTTAATAAAACAGGAACTAGGAGTTTAAATTTATGTTAAAAAAAATAAAAATAAAACACAAATGTTATTATTTAATAAAACGGCAACTGAGGTATAAATTATGTGAAAGTATAAACAAAAATAAAATAAAATACCAATTTTATTATATAATAAAATGGGAACTAGGGGTTTTAAATTATGGAAAAAATAAATAAAAGTAAAATAATAGTTTTATTATTTAATAAAACAGGAACTAGGGTTTTTTAAATTGTATAAAGAAAATTAAATAAAAAATTATTTTAAAAGACTCAAATGGAGATTCAAGGTTTTGTTCTGACAGTGACGATATGCTGAATTAACCAAACATTTATGCAGCATATTCTGGACTTTATTCAGATTTTGAAAAATGCTAATTAAACTGTGTTACAGGTGCATTTCCCATGCAAGAGTGCATTATTATTATAACAATTCCAATTCAAAAATTCAAATGTAAAACGTGTATAATGTCTGGTAAAATTCGTGTTGTCCTTTTGACGTTTTATTTTCTTTGTCTTAATGGTATGATGCCTGATATTAAAAACAGAAAAACAACTGCGCATTTGCAATTGCGTTTCCTCTTCATCACACTTCAGTTCTGCCAAAGTTAAAATGTATTTGCAGCCCTGATCAAATCAATATAATAAGCTTAAACTAAACATCGGTTCGTGTGCAGCCACAAACTCTCCTAGTTGGACAAGAATCCCTTCCACATTCCAAACAACAGGAAATCAGTATTAAAATGTCACTAGCAACAGTTGCTATTGCTAACTCTATATTCTAAACAAGCATCTCTGCACCAGCAGCTTTTTTGTCACTTCCTCCTAAAACATGCCCCGCACTAAAAAGCCCCTCCTGATGTCCCACCCACAGCGTTTGATTGACAGGAGTGTCTCATTGACAGTAAAAATGCAACTGTAAACAGGGTTGCAAACACACTTCAACGTTTTCCAGAGCTGAAGGGCGACGATGAGGAAATGCAATTGCAAATGAGCCATTGTTATTCTGTTTTTAATGTGTCAGAGTCAGACTATTAAGACAGTCGAAATAAAATGTTAGGAGCACTTTGCTTTCCCATATAAATTTTTTTCCAACTGTTATACACAGAAATGCAAATACATGCATTTGAATTTGAATCATGCACACTCACATTGGAAAAGAAACTGTAAGTAGACTATTTCATTTGCATATTTCAATTTGCATTTAAGTTTGAATACAGTAAATAACACATTACAGTGCACATCAAAAGCTAAACTACACACCCTGTTCTGAAAGCCATTTTATGTTTTGTTCTCTCTCTGCAACCACGTTTTCATAACTTCTCTCTAACTGGGCTCTGTCTGTAGTCAGCAGGCAGAACTTGAACGATAAAACTGTGGTGGCAGTTAGGAGAAGAACACACAGCAGCCCCAGACACACTGCAGCCAGTCTGCGGCATCCTGTCCTGGCACCTACTTGAGAAGGAAAAAGATTTTTTTTGACCGCTTTAAGGTTTATATTCACAACGTAGATAAGTTAACACATCCACTACAGAGAACACACTTAACTATAGCAGTTTTCTGCAGATTTAGAGTTTAATAATGGGTTCAAAAAAACATAAAATGTGCAGTAATTTTTGCACAGGCCATTTCTGTGGTATGTTTTGTCCCCCAGTATCTTAAATCCAGAAAATAAACCATAAATGTGCATTAAAATGTGCAGTAATATGTCTTCCGTAGAGGATGCGTTAACTTGTTTTCACAAAATCAACAAAATTTGAATTTGACCAGGGGTGCCAAAACTTTTGCATACCACTGTATATGAGGATATACAGTGTATATTCCAGAAAGCAATTGCAGAAAGCAGTGAATTATAAACCTGAGTTGACCTTTAGGATTGTTTGTGGAAATAATGGATGTAGTGTTTACCGGGTCAAAGAACTAAAGGACCATCCAGATTGTTACCAGTGTAAAGTTTAAAAGTCAGGGTCTGTGATGGTATGATGTTTTGTTTAAGATGTTATAAGATGTTTAAGATGTTATATTCAATACTTCAAGTGAATTCTGTGAATAAGAAATGAAGCAAATGATAATATACTGCAATGATTAGTCTTTAGGTGGCTGATGTACATAATAAAATGTATGTAGGACATGACAACTGTACCCTATAAACCAGCCACACAAAACCACTCTCTCCACTACCTCAGCTCATACACACATTTCTCCTGAAATGAATTTACAATGCTACCTGTATGTTGGGTTTGCGGGGTCTTCTTTGTGTTGGCATACACCAGTTGTTGGGTTTGCGGGGTCTTCTTTGTGTTGGCATACACCGGTTCTGTGTTGTGGTCTTGACTTCTAATATTGTCTACGCTGTCATATATTTCCACCACCATCTCCATTTGATCTTCTTTCTTCAGGTTGGCACTTCGAATCATCTCTCATTTATGAAGTTCCACTAACGTGCTGAATTACTGCTAGTTTAGAGTCACATCTCTTGGCTTTCATGCTCTAATTACTGTGGTGTTGCCATGTAAGGAAGTGACAAAGTTACAAAACATTAGCTGAGCCGTCATATATGACCTTCTAGCGGAGATTGCAAAAGTGCTTAAACGGTCATCCTGTTTTTTGCACAACGTTCTTATCCTCTAACAATCCTAGACAATCCTAGGCAAATATGCAATACATTAGTCAGAATATCACTGTAACCACTTTAACTCTGCTTTAATGTTTCATTTTAAACACTTTTGCAACACTAGGGCTTTTAAAACTGTTATGAAATAATGAATTGTGATTATTCACATTAGTTTGCTTAGTTAATCATGATTAATCATACTCATCTTCTCTGCTCAATTTGACCCTAAAGAGAGATTTTTTCCTTTTAAAAAGCTGCACATTTTGCTATATAAGCCTCAGCAGAGTGTAATTATTACTATCAGTATTCCAATGTGAACCTGAACATCATGAGCCTGAAATCACGTGAATGCAAGGTGGATATGAAAATAGAACGAATCATCCCAATTTACAGCACCGACGTCCAGTGAGAGCAACAGTGGCTACAACTCCTCTGACCTCTTGCTCTCATACCTCTGTTATAGCCTTTAGGTTTAGTTTGGCCTTTAGCATAGCAGCCCTCCACATAGTGTCGCTCAAGTTTCTGCAACAGCAGAGTTTGTGTCATGCTTACTTTGTGAAACTGAAAAGTTTGAGTGTATTCAACTCCATGTATAATTTCAAACAACTTGAAAATTTGCATTTCAAAACATAATTCCTTTGAGGCAATGAGTTGCCTCTAAACATTTGAGTAAACTGTAACTGAACTTGTCAGGGGTTAAAGTGGAGAGGGGGCCTGGTTACAGGTTGCAGGTGCCAGCTAGTAAACATTATGTCCCAGAGACGTTGCTAGAGAGAGGTTGACACACATCAATTAGCATACTGCATAGCAGATACCATAACCAGAGACCAGATTTAGCATTTAAAATACAACACATGACTTCACATTTAACTGCCAAGTTACTATAACAACTGACAGCATCCTGCAGTGGGTAAAGGCCAATTAACCACAGGCCTGCCTCTTACAGCAATGAGAGTAGACATCTTCAGTGAATAGTTTAAGATGTTCTCATTATTTTCTCCAAAGTATTCAACTTTGTTTTCTTTCTCACAGTCAACTTAACTGCTTTCCTAACTTGCTATGGCTTTGCTATAGCCAACACTTGCAGGGGCAATGCTGAGTTTACATGTTGGCACTGGACAGAAAGCGTCAGTGTGTGCTGTACTGCAAAGTGTTTATGTTAACACTTTAACTCTGCTTCGTGACATTGGCATAACCATGCCATAAACATGCTATATGCTGTCGTTTGTCAGATTATGCCCAGTAAGTGTCATATCACCATTACAGTTTATTGTACTGAAAGATACCATACTGTTTGCTGTCATTATGGCTGATTAGAGTACACTTAGTAAAAAGAAGTTATCATAACATCAAACATTATAGTTACTGTCATAACAGCATATGACATCAGGCATGACATGTTTATAGCATGTTTATGTAGCAGGATTCAAGTAAAATCTAAGTACCAAGAGTAGGCCACTGATGGCCAAACACATCCGTATAAATGTTGCTATGGTGATAGCTGCTGGGGAAAATTGGCGATGAGCAAAAGAGTGCTGCCGGTCGCTGTTATTTAAGGCCTCATGAAGATGCAAGAAATCAGTGCCTTTGGGTTTATCCTGTATTGTAAGAGCACATAATTTTTTTTATTTGAGCAGTCAGAAATCTGGGGGGCCTGGCTTCCATGTATTTGAACCTGTTCTGTAAGGAGCAGAGCTGTTATCTGCTGGTTCACTCGAACGGTTACTGACCATGCTCAGGACCGTCCGGCTCTACAGTGGAAAAGAGGCTACAGCGGTGGTCCCCAACCCTGGTCCTGGAGATCTACTTTCCTCTGGACACACCTGCTCTAGTTAAATATCTTCTTCAGAAATCCTTGATTGGCTGGACTACATGCATTAGTGTTGTGTAAGGGGAGGAGCATCATGTTAGATGCAGGTTGGAACTAAAGACTGCAGGAAAGTAGATCTCCAGGAAGGAGGTTGGTGACCACTGGGCTACAGTGTCACTTATGTGAAGCACTGCTTTCATGAAGCTTCAAAAAGTATTTGACTGCTAATGGCCCCCTATTCTGGAGGCCCGAAGCCTGTTAAAAGTTCTCCAGAGATAGAGTCAGGCTACAAACATTAATAAATCTGTATAATTTTATTCTCAATACATACTGAACGCTTTAAAAAGTTCTTTATGATGATGCAGACATGCTTCATACATTTTACTTGTGCTGTTAGCTACAAGTGGGCTTCATTATTTATGTGTGTACGTGTTGTAAGGCACATTTTCTGGGGTAACGTTATGTTTACCATCAGAGGGAGACATCTGAGAAATTGTTTTACAACAGTTTTGATATAAAGTTTGGGATGAAAATATATATATATATATATATATATATTTGGTGGAGAGTTACATACAAGATGTCTTAATGCAAAATAGGCCCTAAAGAAAACATATTTGTTCAGATTTACCACTATTTTGCCATTTTCAACACTGCATATAAAAACTCACAAGTCACATATAGGTTCTTTGGTTGCTTTGGATTGTAAATAAAATGGATTTTGAGACCCCTGGTTACCATCACCACCACTATAAATAAATCTGTGCCGGTATGTCTCTCAATCAATCATTTCACGTCCAAACACTCTGAATGACTTTACTGACATCAACAATTGAATTATATAGAAATTTAAAAAAATTGGTGGAATTCTCTAATTATTTTTGTGTAAACATCAATGAGAAGACAGAGTGTTCTGTAGAAATACTATCCATATGGTCGGCAGGAGCGAAGAACTGAAACAGTTATGCTTGGAGTCTGCGTTAACTAAGATGATAGCAAACTAATATCCAGGAAAAGCACAATGTTTTAAACATCAGGGTGAATGTACTACCTTCTATTGGCCATTTGCTTTGGTCAGAAATGTTAGTGGTGTCTGGGTTACACTAACAGCTTCTACTGACTCTCATTCCAACCTCCTGAATTGTCTAGTTAGCTCAAACCAGCAGTGGAGGTGCTCAGGCAGTTGGAACTCCTGGGGCTGATTTTTGCTTTCTGGACCTGAATTTACCACCTCTGCTCATAGCAAATAGAAAGAAAATTAAATAATGAACGTAATGAACGTCTCTCTTAGAATTAAACAGGCTGTTTTTGTCACTGTGCTTTTAAAACTGATATATGTAAATGACCTCTGTTCTGATTGGCTGCTCTGTATCTACCTTATTTTTCCTGTCACCACTGTATTTCGAGATTATGGCCTAAAGATCAGGTTGGGGAATGGAAGTGTCATTCATTACTGTTTTAGCTAAGTCAAGGAAGGTGTGGCTTACTTATTAACTTATCGTTAATGTCCCATTAAATAACTCTGAAGATGAAAATGTGGCACGAATATACAAGCATGAACCTCTCAAGAAAGAGCGCAGCTTTGAAGGATATTTGAATGTGGCTTCGCAGTCACTAGTTGAAAAAGCCCAGTTATTGTTGAAATCAGTGCCCATGAAACATTGCTATGTAATGACGTCGCTTTATGGTTTTATGCCACTACCTGACCGTGTGAACAAAAAAAGTTTAAATAAAATTTGTGTCGGCTATGAACAGAATCGTCTGACTAAAGTTTGAGGTTGCTGTTGACAGATTAATTACAAACATTGGCACAAAAGCATTCACCATCCCAACAATAAAGATTATTTACGTTTATACCCTTTTCAACCTCCCAGTTAGCCATCTTCTATTTTATTTTCTTATGCATTGATTCATTGAACTCAACTCAATGATGTCATTCAACTATCATGTCATGTTGTTGATATTCTGTTTAGCTTTTTCATGATACTTCTTCCATGGCACTTGCAACTGTTGCAGTTTCAAATAAGTTGCAGGACACTTTATGTTATGCAATTCAAGTGTAATTCAGTTTCATGCAGGTTTCAAGCAACAAGCTGCGTAAAAGGTTTCACAGTGTAAACCCAGCCTAAAAGCTCATTACTTACCTGTACGGTCACTGGTTGTTTTGGATAATAAATAAAACAGCTATATATTTGTGACCCCTGGTTCATATCACCACCACTGTAAAAACTGTCTACAGTTAACCATTTCATTACAACTCACTGTAAATATATTTACGTCATTGATTAACGCAGAACCAGATAGCAAAATTTGTCTGGCCCACTTGTCAGCCACATCTTTGGGTTTGTTCTGGCCCAGTATACAGCTAGGTCTTTGGCCCAGATCCGGCCCATACCCTTTAAAGTAAGTAGAACTTATGGATGTGGCCAATTTTGGCCCAACTACACTGTTGGTCCACAATTGTCACACCAGAACTGGTTCACAGATATAAACAGGAGGCAAAGCTGTATGCAGTTGTCCAGGATCTGGCCCTATTTTGGCTCACATGCCCAACATCTGCCCGGTAGTCAATCAGCACTTGCGTACGAAAGCCAAAATTGGGCCAGAACTGTCAGTTATCTGGAAAATTTAGAGAAATTGGTGAAATTCCCCTTTAAAACCCTAGTTTTAGAGCATAAGGGAGTAGAATGCATGACATACATACAACAAAACTAAACAACTCAACCTAACTCTGTTAGGTCTTAAAACTCATATATGTCCTAAAGATTGATTGCCTTTTGGAGAGAGAGAGAGAGAGAGAGAGAGAGAGAGAGAGACAGAGAGAGAGAGAGAGAGGCAGTTTGTCTCTGCTGCATGACATCATTGATGGAGCAGAGAGAGAGAGACAGAGAGAGACAGAGAGAGGGAGAGAGAGACAGAGAGAGAGAGAGAGAGAGAGAGAGAGAGAGAGAGATGCAGCAGCTGCAGAAAGTCAGGCGTGTGCGCGCATAGAGCGCGTTCACAGAGGACCCCACCAGAACTCCCTCTCTTTCTCAGGACGGATGATGTCAGCAGTCAACGACTGTAAACGGTCGGATCTGAACTGGGATTTTCAACCGGAGGACTGAAACTGCCTTGTTGCTATGCAACATCACCGCAACTGTGCTGAAGTCAGAAGAAATCATGAACGAGTGGATCAGTTGAAACGCTTTTCAGGTCAGTAGTGAGATTATTGCTCAGTGTATGTCTTTGTGTTGAGCTTTAATATAAAGCCTGTTCTGTTCACTGTAGCGTTAACCGGGTCCCTCACAGACGGGCGCCCGTTGTTTATGTTTACTAACGTTACTAGGTTAGCGGCGCGGCGTTAGCTAGCTAACTCTCTGTCCTTCCGTCGTTTTCTACAAATTTAGCCACCAGTTTAGCTTGCAGTTGAATAGCAAAACCAGTAAAAACCCTTTACATCGTTTCCATGAGTATTTTCATGGTTTAGTTTGCTAAAACTGATATTTCGCTGTCTTTGTAGAAATGCCGCACTCAAAAATGAAGTCCAAAAGTGCAGAGGAGGCGAGTTCTGGCCAGTCGGTCAGTCAGTCAGTCAGCGGGATGAGGTTAAACATTAGCGTCTGATATTTTTATTATTCCCGTTATTATTATGACCTATTTGTGAGGAAAATGAAATTATTTTGCTGTGTAAACTTCTGTGTGTCTTGTTTCTCTTTCTCTCTCTGAATGAGCATCAGTAGTAGAGATGGCACAATATCAGTTTTTCCGATAGCTGATACCGATCCCATGCCTCTTCTCTAAAGAAATGCTAAGCTAGGCCCGTATCATGGAAAAGTGAGTTGTCCTTGTTTCTTTCATAAGAGAGATTAATATAGTTGTAAACATTGCTAAACTTTCAACATGATGTACCATTTACATATTGCATACATATACATACATACATCATCTAAACCACTTATCCTTCTGGGTCGCGGTGGGGTGCTGGAGTCTATCCCAGCTGTCATTGGGCGGAAGGCAGGATACACCCTGGACAGGTCGCCAGTCTATCGCAGGGCAGACAGACAGACATACACACTCACACCTAGGGGCAATTTAGCGTGTCCACTCAGCCTGACTGCATGTTTTTGGACTGTGGGAGGAAACCGGAGTACCCGGACGAAACCCATGCAGACCCGGGGAGAACATGCAGAACTCCACACAGAAATGACTCCGGTCGCCTGGCCAGGAATCGAACCCAGGCCATTCTTGCTGTGAGGCGACAGCGCTACCCACTGCGCCACCGTTTTTTTTTAAATATATATATATATATATATATATAAAACAAAGCTCTGTGCTATTTGTTCTGGAGTCAAATTATGCTTTGAAACTCAACAACTTACACTGTCACTCGAGACTAAACAGAGTGAATATGTATCTAAACCTGTCCAGCTGAGTCAGAACTCTGTTTTCAGCTCTTGTCTCTTCAGTCTGACATCAGCACTCAGTAGCTGCCAAATCAGCCTTCTCATTAGGTGAGTCAGAAAAACGCAATCTGATACACAGAAAGGACTGTTTAAGTCTGTTTATTTTGGTTTTGTTAATATTCAATAATAATTCAGTTTTCAGTTACCTTGAGAAGAATTTCAGAGTCCACCTTACCCTGAGGTCAAGACAAGACAGTGTCCCAATGAGGTCGAGACTGAGATGAGACCAACACCACTAATTTACGGTCTCAAGACCGAGACCCGACTCTAGTACAACATTACCAAGATGTAAAAACAACCTATTTTGAACTGATGGTTCTTGTGATGCAACACAAACCAGTGCATTTCTGTCCACCTTATTTTTCATGTGACCACAGTGTTTCGAAACTATATCCGGTTAGGGAATAGAAGTGTCGTTCATTACAATTTTTTGCGAAGTCAAAAGTGCGATGTGATTCTTGCAAATCAGTGTGCATTTCAGCAACATGTGCCGTGATTAGCTGATGTCCTGTCATTATGCTAATCCTGTGTTTTGGGTGGTGGGCTACAAGCCTATAGGCATTATTATTATATTATTTATTGAAGTTCAATACTCTAAAGGCCTTTTCAGACAAAAAAAAAAGAAAAAAATCACGTTTTGAAAACGAATACATGAACACATTAACGCCATCTTTCACACTGAACCCAAAACTGAAGTATTGCAGCTAGGGCTGGGCGATAAAACGATAACGATAAGTATCGCGATATAACTTTTCCTCGATAGAGCGATAAGACAGGTTCGATAAATGTTCGATATAATACACCACTCTCACACTTCCACGTTTTAGTGAAAGCCCTGGTGGCGCTTTCTACTGCAAGGAAAGCGACACTACTCTGCTGTCGCCAGGAGAGGGCGCACTTCCGAATTTTTCGACTTGATTAGAGAGGGAGAGGGCCACGAGTAAAAAAAGGGTCGCCAAATATACTTTAGCAACGGCTGAAACGCGGAGTTATACAGTCCCTGTTTGAGTGGATGTTATCGGCGATGTTCTCCTGTGACCGAGTGTGAGTGACGAGGTCAGTGGTGTAACTGTACTGTCCTACGGTGAACTCACTTCCATCCTATCAACTTTAGCGGTGTTAAATCACGTCTACAGCGCGGTGCTAAAGCACCAAACCGTCATATTTTAGTATTAGTGCATTCCAGAGCAACAAAAGTGAAAGAAAGAAGTGGGTTCATGTCAGTTACAGCCCTGATTTAAACGAAAGTAAACTGAGGAAGCTGTGAGGCACTGGAGAGCGGGAGAGCGCTGTCTTTCCAGGCTAGCTGTTTTTAGCTGCTGGCTAACTTGAAGCAGCACTCCGGCAAAACACGGTGAATTGATGATACGGTAGGTCAAACACGACACAAAATCACCGCTTTCAGTTTAAACATGCCTAAAAGCAGGACTCTGTGACTGGTGCGAGAGATTCACACTGCGGATAATGCTTTTACACAGCGAAACGTCAGATATACTGCGGTTCACCCCTTAAACTACTACGATAGCATAGAGAAACCCAGTCGTCGCTAGCTGGTGTCTGAATACTGTGATCTGCTCCGACATGGATGTGGTAGGAGTGACAGCACTGACCTACCGAACCGAGTCGACGTTGTTGAGAAACTAAAGAGTTCAGCACTGTTGTTGGCCACTTGTTTAGCATTTGTAAGGGGATAGCCGAGTGCTCGTCACCAGACAGCTAAAAATAATCTGTTTTCTTTCTTGAATCATGACTATTACAAAAATTGCAGCTGTGCTTTTCAAGCTGATAAAAACAGCTCAGAAACTGTCCCAAGACAGATTAGTGAAATGTTCCACTGTTTGCCGAGTGTTTGTCATGATCCGACCATAAGTGATAGTTTAAAACCACAGTTTACCACCCAGGAGCAAAATCAGCCTTCAAACGTGAAAGAAATCATGATTTGACATTTATCGCGATATGTATCGATATCGAACGATATGAATTTTGTTTACCGTGATAACGTTTTTGGCCATATCGCCCAGCTCTAATTGCAGCACTGGGTAAAAGGCAGATAAGTCAGAGCTCCGTCATCATGGGCATTGTCCAAACAAATGGCGTAAAACAGCTGACCTTATTTTTGGCATAGCACAAAACAACGAGCAAAAAAACTGACTGTAAAAATGTGGAGGTTACAGAAATACGTTGGAAAGACAGGGAATGATGATGAGGGCTTTACTACAACACAGCCAAAGTTTATAGACATTCTTATCTAATGTTAGATCAATCTTAGCCTGTTTATGCCTGTTTTTTGTACAATGTCTGTATCCAGTATGTGTGCTCTTTAGTTGGAGTGCTCCTCCGTCATCTTCCTGACCTCCCGGAGGGTTAGATTTAGAGTAAAGGTTGTGCTGCATTCGAAACACATCCATTTTTTCTGTCCGAAAAAGTTGTACTTGGTGTGAATAGGCCTTATAGTCATTATAGAGGAAGACTGTATTGCAGTAAAAATCACCCAACGCTAAAGGCCTATTCACGACAAGTAAATTGTGGATTTTTTTTTCCAGTGTTCTCCACAATTTAGTCGTTGCCAATTCCACCCACAAGCTATGTCTCCCCCAGTCACACGTTACTACCGAGCTGGGAGGGTGAATGCCACCTAATGTTTTTCACAGTGCCATTAGTGCAACATCATTCTCACACTTGGAGAAGAACGTTAACTGCCAATTCTGTTATGTTAACCAGCTTCTTTTATATACTAAAACTTAAAGGTGCACTAATTGGGAACAGACATTGTACAAAAAAAATGGCATAAACAGAGTAGGATTTACAAGTTTACCATACCTTTTACAGCTTTATATTACAGTATTATAGTATTATAGATGTGGGTCAGTTTGGATTTCAGAGTCAGAGAAAGGTGACCAGATTTCTGAAATGATAACCAGAGACATTTCCAGTTCAGCGGTCAGTATGTTATTAAAATATCCAATGATTTTGTCTATGAAATAAAAATTTGGAGCAGTTCCAGTTTCATGTATCTTGGCCATGGTAACAGTTGTAATGTAATAAACTATAGTGAAGGCTGACTGATAAAATTAGGTACTACCTAGTAACTTTGTAAACTACGTCAGAAGTACATTTATGTTTCTTGCTCTTTTGCTTTTTCTCGCTCGTCAGATTCAGTGGCTGCTAGCAACATATGCCATATGTCATATATGAATGGCTGAAAAAGTGACGTTGTTTAAAAAAATGATATGCTATTTGTAGATGCATGGTAACCTACAGTCGAGTAGAATGCATGCCAATACAAATCAGATTCAAGTCCTGTAACCCCACCCCTACTTTTAATCCCTGGGTTACCTCATGTCTTGAAAAGACATTTGAGGTAATGTTGTGGACTCACTTGACACTTCCTCGGAAAACGGGGACATCTGGCCACCCTGTATCAGAGCTCAGGGAGAACAGGGAGGCAGATGACTAAAATATTTTGGTCTATAATCATAAAGGCTGCAGTGTCAGTATGAGGACACCTGTGTGTGTGTGTGTGTGTGTGTGTAAGAGAGAGTCTGCAGCTGTAAAATGAACAGCAAGTAATACAGTGTTCACTAACACAACTGACACAGATTGCGTATATATCACAGCTGTGAACAAATAAATCACTAAAACCGTAATCTGAACTGCGTTTGTGAAAGTGAAACTAATTCAAGTACACAAATTCAGATCTTACCAACAGTTAGTAAACATACCTCATTCACGCACACAGCAGGGTACAGTAAACTGAATGAAAGAATACTGTTGTTAGTTTCTTCTGAACATGTGACGTTCAGAAGGGGCTGGAGTGAAACACTTTTTCTCTAATACAACCTTTTAAACTATTGAAATATTAGAGCTGGAGTTTGCCCTGTGCTGGTATTGGAGAAGAAACTTGTGCAGCTGGCTGATTAAATTAAATTAAAAGAAAATTTATGTCAGAATTTTTTGACATACCCCCAAAATCATTTTACAAACCCCTGGGGGGATGCATACCACAGTTTGCGAACCATTGATTAATATAAACCAAAACATGCTGTAATCAGTCACTATGAGCCCTGTTTACACCTTGCATCAGTATGTGTTTGTGTCAGTAGCGTACCTGGATACACTTTGACCATAGTCCATTTACACTTTCACTAAAAGGCACCCCTAGTTTGACCAGATAACATCTGATTTTACTTTCTTGCATAAAAACACATTAAAATATAAGTTGTCTCTGTTTTACTTTTGTTTTGGGGATAACTTCAGCCTCACGTATCTTTCATTGCATTGTTTAATTTCTCATCTGCCAGTGAGCGCTCGGCATGTCCATTCATGACAACTGTATATGGACAACGACTTGTCAAGATCTGTCTCTGACCACTTCAGAATGTGACTTGGGAATAACACATCTGCATAATGCAGAAAATCATCCTGGCTCTGATTAAAAATTTTATGCATCGCAGTCCTCCAGTTTCAAACTCAGCGTGTATAGGCCTTAAAGCCTGTGTCTGCTCATTTCCGTGATTTTCTTCATGATTATCTATAGTTTTTGTGATTTTTTTTGCAGTGAACTGGTAGAGAAAGAGTGCTGTTTGTCTTTTCTGTTGAGTGATTTTTGAAACTGCCGTTTTCTTCCGTTTGATTTGAGTTGGGTGGAACTAAATTTGGAGCAGGTGACGTCACCATTGCCATAGTACCAATCAGAGTTAGCAGTATGTATACATCAACTACTCACCGTAATTTTCCTCGCATAAAATGACTGCTCTCCTGCTGCTCTGAGTCCTAGATAAAACTCAGAGCAAGTAGGTTATTTAAGCTTTTCTACACGTTAACATTTCTTGTTATGGAGGTTTATTACATTGTTATGTTGTTTGTAGTATAGCTAGATGCTGCATCCTACTTGCGTTAGCCACCTGCTGCAGGATCCTACTATAAGTGATTAACTTCATTTATGTCAGCGTGATAGCGATCCACCTTAACTGTACGAACATGTTACAAATATAATACACTAGCTTTGCGTTATGTTAGCTACCCCCCCTAAACATCAGGACTCACAGTTCACCCGCAATTGTACTTTACAGGCGTGGTGTCCGCTAATGTGACCATGCTGACTCATCACAGGAGCTTGTGTGACCTCAGTTTCAGAAGCACGGCCCAGCAGTTTGCCAGCTAGCTGTAGGTTACAGATGTAATGTTAGTGAGTGTTCAGATATCGGACATGATTAGATCTCTAAAATGACCAGAAAGTTTGTTCTTCGTTTTGCATTTTTTACTAACCACACAGAGACTGGCTGAAAAGAGCGATGTGGTCTGCTTTTCTGTGGGGGGGGGTGCTCTTGTTCCTCAAGGGCTAAACCTCACCATTCCTGCCTGCTGTGTGTCCATCTCTAGCATTATTGGTGGTGTCGCTCACCCCTGCCACTGGCTCCAGGTTGTTTACATTGCCAGGGAGACGTTACTGTCAATCATTATGCATTCTGACACGCCCACACAGTTCTCAGCAGACATCAGCTTGGATTTTTTGTTGTGTTAATTGCGTAATTTATATATATTTATTTAGTATAACAAAGGTAAACACATTCTGTGTAATATCTTTACTATTAAAACAAAATTGTAAACATTTGGAACCATGTTTACCGGTGAGCGCTGTGTGCAGCGTTTAGTGTGATATTAGTCTATGGCCCAGAAGAGCACTTTTATTACTCTTTATTACTGCAGCCCTTCAGCACTTTATTTCCCTTCATCAGAGATGCCAATGGTTTTTTCAGACATATTACTGAGAGAGCAGAGAGCAGTGCATCAAAACACACAGTTTGAGAGGACTGTGGAGCTCTCAAAATGGTTCTAATATAGAACCATATAGAATAATCTGAACCATTTCACCATGCAAAGAACCATTTAAGCATAAAATGATTCTATATAGAACACATGGTTCTGAATAAAACTATTCTCTTTATTAAAGAACCCTTGAAGAACCATCTTTTTTAGGAGTGATATACTGTATTTTAGTCAATATCATGACTGTAGCTTTTGCAGTATTGAGCCAAAGCTAACCCTGGTCATGGCATTTATGTTGGTTTTAACTTGGGTTGGGTTAGAGTGGTAGATATTACTTTAGAACTGTAGACTGTGGAACTTTTATTCTCACGCCTCTTAATGCTTTGAGTGGTTTGTGGACAGAACGTCTTGCAAAATTTCTGAGCTTAGCTTTCTGCTAACTTGTTAGCCTACTCTAGTGAGGGCAGAATATATTCAGTTATGGGGAATATAAAGTGTAAACCAGTTGGACTTTTTCAAGAAGTGATCATAAAACCACGTTCATATGTCCTCTGAAGTACTGCGCTTTCTTGAGAGGTAACATTCCCCTTCTTGCTGTAGTTTCATGTTCACTCAGCTGTAATGAGAGCTGCAAACAGCAGGATCTGGAACAATCTACAGCGGTCATGAAAAATGAGCTGGATTCCAGTCATTTTTTCATCTGGTTTTTAGTTTTTGGTCATATATTCATGAGCCTACAGTCACATTTCAGGCCATATACTACAAAGGCCATTAATTTCAAAGAAATTGTCAAACACTTGACATGTTGACACATTTCTAGTCAGAAAAATAGAAGCCAATCTTTAACCATGTCACATTATTCAGCAGTGCATTATCAATATACTGCAATTGTAGTGCACAACATGTAGCAGTGTAATCATGATTCTGATCTTTGTTGATGGTAATGCTGAGTGATATCTATACTAGTATACTGGTAATTGCATCACAAACATTGATCTTTAGTTGTAGGTGTGTTGATGGATACCACATACTACATGATATGCTTTAGATTGCTTTTAAAGAACCGTTTAGAATACATAAAAATGTAAATACCAAGTCTAGTTATCTGATAATCATACTCATTAATGAAACTGCATATGCACTGGAATGGCCTGTTGGACATTGTATTTATTGAATATTGAATTTTTTCAATATGGCCCAGCATGAGGGTCACCACATTTTGGTTTTCAAAAAAGAGGACACTGGGGCACAAAGGCAGCACAGGGCAGGCTGTAGAAAGGAAATGTCTTGAGAGTAAAGCCTTGAAAGTAAAGCCAAATCCCAGACATTTTAGGCAATTTTGAAATCCTGGCCTGGTGCAATTTTAGGTCCCCCGAAAAGGACAGTCATTCTACCACCAGCTGACTGTCTTCTAAGAAGGCAATACCAGTGTCTCAATCTCAAAGAAAACTGGCTTATCTGAAAGTGTTCTGGATTAGTACCAGACAATTAAAGCTGTGAAATTCAATACTGCTGATTTTATCGACAAAGGACCCCAGTGATGGTGGATTATCCTGCTACACTGCTATTTCTTGTAGCCAGTCCAACATTAGGTAGCTACAGCTGGTGCCATCATCGGTGTGAGGAAGCAGTTGGTCAGGTTAGGAGAGTCTGGCACCGTGAGAGTGAGTGTGAGCGTGCGGCCAGTGGTAGACGAGGCCCTGTGTGGAGCTCCTGGGGTGCTAAGCTGATTAGTGGCCTGCTCCACCATAGGGGGGGAGGAGATTTGAGGCTAAAATAACCGCTAAGTCCGTCTAGCCACGTGTTCCAAGTGACTCGGCTAACACTATGACTCTTGCAGTGATTGAACTGTTTTTTTTTTTCTCTCTCACAGGAGTTCACAGGTGGAATGAGGGAGGCCGGCTTTGTTGAGTTGCACCTGCTGACTTTCCGGATGTTTCCATACAGCTGAATCCCGGGCTGGACACTGAGCCTCGTTCTCGGACTGTGGAGAGGGAAATGTTTGTTCATGAACAGCAGACTTCCTTCCTTTTTTGCAGCAGTGGCCATGAGGATGTTTTTGGTGAACTGAGAGAAGAGTAGCATCTCAGGATTCTGAGCAGTGTTAAAATGCCTGTGCATCAGATCTCCGTCGTACCAGCCAGTAAAGAGACCACAAGCAACAGCCGAGGTTCCGGCAGAACCAGAGAGAAGAGTAAAGAGAATGAGGTGAGACCTTAAGAATACTCATGAACCATAGGAACAGATATGAACTTGTTCTTCATGCCACGTTGCTATTGTGATTAAATTAAAATCTTCATTGGTAACTTTATAGTAGAAGGAAAAGAGATTTAGCATAACAAGAATGGGACCATTTCTGTTGGTATATTAATGATGAAATCTTCACACAATGTTAAAAGCATTTGGCATTTTTAAATCAAATAAAAAAATTAGAAATAAGAACACACTTCTGCACGTTTTAATGCATGTGTTCTGCATAGTTAGGTTAGTATTCCTCCTCCACAAGCATAGATTTCTATGTTCTGTCAAGCATTACCTTCTTTTTTGTTAATTAAATGTAGATGCTGTGGTGTATTGATAAAGTGTTCAAAACTGTGTTAGTTATAGTAAAATTCCTCTGTAAATATGTATCTTTGAGCATTTGCTGTGAAAAATTCAGAAAGATTTATGTTCTAAACAGCGTATTGAAATCTAAAACAGCATCACCAATAACTCAGTCTCTTCCCAGGGTGTCTTTTCTGTTTGAGAACTTTCATTTATCTAAGCCAAAGCAACCTGAACATTTTAGCTTATAATTAAAGCTATGTGGAGGATATTTTAACACATACGTCTGACCTTTTGTACTATTCCTCCTGCTGATGACCTGTAAAAGTCATTTGTGTCTATGTGTGTCTGTGAGGTGATAGTCTGTAGTGATGATGGGGATGTGCATGGGAACCTCAGTACTTGATTAATCGTTTAAGGTACTTTTATTCAAAAACTGAAATCACTGTTTGGATATTCGTTGCATTTCATCAGGCAAAGACAGAGAAAATACACAGGCTAACAATTCAGTGAAACATGACCGTTTTGCTCGTATTTGCGAGTAAGTATTTTATGTTATACTCTAAAACAAAAGTGGCTGAATGTGTGCATGTTGCCAAGGATAAGGTAACTGATGCAGAGATAGCATGACTGTACATAGGCGAACTACTCTAGCTGATGTTAGCTAGTTCCAGAAACAGTAAATCATCCACTGAGGAAAATATACCTTGTACAGAAGATGAGTCCTAATCAGCATCCAGTGTGAGACCTGTTAGCTCATTAGCTTATTTGAGGAGGCAGCTTCTGTTACTCATTGGAAATTAAAACCTACCAATGTCTCAGCTTTTTAAATTTTTTTTTATTTTTCCCCCAATTTTCTCCCCAATTTAGACATATTCACTTCCACCCACTAGTTAGGATTCCCCAATCACACGAAAACACCAGCGCTAAGTGGGGAGCGAAAACTAGCACAGGCTTCCTCTGAGACCTGTGAAGCCAATCACTGCATCTTTCGAACTGCCACTAACGCAGCGTCACTGCGCTTAGAGGAGAGCGGCAACCCCCAGTTTTGTTACGACAGCTAACAGACATGTGCACTGACTAGCATCGCTCTGAAGGGTTGGGGGAGACAGGGGGACCACTCTACCCACCTAGAGAGTGAGGCCAATTGTGCTCTCTTGGACTCACTGCCACGGAGGGCTGTAGCATCACCAGGGATCAAACTCGTGATCTCCTCATGATAGGGCCAACATTTAGTGTTTAAATAATAATAATAAATGTTCCTCCATGCTGCTATATGTTTGTGCAACACCTGTGTTGTCGCCTTAAAACAAAAGCCTACAGCCATAAATTATTACCATATTTCTGGCCAGAGTCTTTTTTTCCTTCTTTGCTCTAATAACCAGATATACGTTCATGAACTGTTACAGATATTTAAATAAACGAAAATCAGAATGATGATCCTTAGAAGTGTGGCCTAATATGAGTGTTGTATGTTCAGTATAAACACAGTGTAATTAGCGTTCATGTCCCTCTCGTGCTTTAGCTTGTATCTAGTATTTGCTTTGAATTTAGTGTTATTGGCAAAATATGTCCAAATAAATCCAGTACTGAAGCCTCATTCCAATGGGGATATCAAAACTGAATCCCATTTTACTGGAAAGCTTACAGTGCTTAAATATCTTAAAAAGCACACTTTAAGCACAGAAGTTAGAGCTTTAAAACATTTATCAGGCTGTTGGCTTTAGACTACCTAGAACTCTGTCTATGAATCTGAACCATGGATCTCCACTTTGTTTTATAAAATCAAGGTCTACTCTTATTAAAAAAAAGGAAATTTTATTAGGAGACTGCAGCATCAAACTAACAATCTTGTGCTAATAATTACGTTCTAGATTTTTGTTCATTCTTAGCCAAATAATAAGGAGCAATGAACTTCATACATGAGTAAAAGTAAACAAAGAAGTAAAAAACAAATAAACATCTATAAATAATTGAGATTTTTTCCCCCTCTATATATACATTTTTTGTTTCCAAGATTTTCTTTCACTGATATTTAGGTGTGTATAATTTCCAAGAAAACTCAACTCTAACTCAGAAAACATTTTACATGTTTAGTTCTTGTTGTAACTAATCTCTGTCCCTTCTAATTAAAGTTTGGCAATGAGAATTAGGCTACCAAAAGTATTGACAAAAGCCCTGATGAATGACTGGTTTCTTAGAATTCAGCTCAAACTCAGTTGTGTAATAGTATGAAAATGATTAAGAAAATTATTAAGAAAGTATTGTTAGTCAACATTGTGAGAAAATGTCCACAAATATCACATTAAATTACATTTAGGCTCATATTCGTGTAGCACACACTGCTGAAATGCCTAAGAACATCTGTTACATGCACTGACCAACCAACTACAGAAGCTTTTGTGATTGGTCAAAATTTAGATCCCAGCTTTGATTCCAGCCAATGCAGAAAAAAAAACAGAAACCATGTATTTAAAAGACAATTACACAGAAGCCTTAACATCTAAATCTAATATCAGAGGTTTCATTACTCAGTTTGTCAACCATTTAACTTTTATTACAGCTTCCATTCTTACGTCCTTAAATTTGCAGGAATGTTTTTACCCCATACCTAAAGTTCAGTCTTAAAAGTTGGTTTCATTTTCTGCTTTTCATGATCCAAGTAATCCCAAACTTATTCAGTGATGTTGAGGTCTGGACTTTGGGGTGGTCAGTCCATTGTTCTGAGAACAGCAGTCTGTCTGTTTCATTTTCTATGTAAAGGCTTGTTGACAGCTACACGTCCTTTAAGACTCATAGCATTGAAGTGTCTTCTTACAGTGGGAGAATTTTTTATGTGGTTAGGAGTTACATTTTTTGATATCTTTTTGATCATATTTTTAAACTCCAGTTTTGGAAACTCATGCTTTGTTATTTATTTTCTTTTGACTTTCTCCTTCCTTCTGCTAGTGGATTACCTTATATCAAATCTTGTCAGAAATCTCATGAAAATAAATGAATTATACTTAATGGTTGTTTTGTCTGGACATTTAAATATATATGAGTAGTGGTCTCTGACTTTTACAGTACTGTGCAAGAGGGAATGAGTCATTTTGCTGTCCTACTATCTTGTTTAGAATGTCCATGTTATTCCTTAAACACAACAGATGTATTTTGCATCTGTAATCATACATGGAGGTTACAAAAGGTCTATCTGACATGTAAATTAATATTTGATGAAATTTTCAAAAATAGAAAAATCAGTTGATCAAGGTGGGATCCCGTGTGATTAGCTTTTGATGCTTCTTATTATGAAAATCATTGTTTCATCACAGATTTTATTTTCCCTTTATTTTCCCTTGCATTTTTCCCATTTCATGTTTCATTTAAAAGCAGAAAAAAGCTAAATAAATCAATCTAATTTATGTAATGGTACAAAAACCCAAATCAGTAGCAGTAATAAGTATGAATGCATCAATACCCTTTTTTCCAAGTGTTTTATTATTTGCCGAAACAAATACCGAAAGCTGAGTAACCTACTGAGAATGAAGTGGTTGATAGTGTAAATAAGTGCAATTGTTAAAATCTAGCTGACTTTAAATAATGTACGTTAGCTAACTATGTTACATTATTTATGTTGGATCAAGTAGCATTGCAGTAGAATGGGTTCCACGTCAGAAAAGCTCTTCTGTACAGCTGTAAAGTACATTTCATAATTTTGATCCCTGCTCCTCATCTGTCTCTTTCAACAACAGTCTGTGTATCAGTGACAGCAAGAATCACATCTGAGGCTAATGCATCCAAAGAGTTCACATTTCAAGTTTTATGTCTTGTTGGAGTCTTTTGATTGGCTGGTTGAGCTGTAGTTGAATGACTTCTAAAGCTAGGCATACACCATGCAATTTTGAAAAAAAAGTTTTTGGTGGCAACTTACACTGTACGTTTAAACAGACCATTGTATATAAAGACAAAGCCAAAGATTTATATGCACACATGGTGTGATGCTAAGCGAAACCCATCCCCCACAGACAACTCTGTCTACAGACGATTATTAATAAAGCTGTTTTGTTCAAAACAACACACTGTGCACCTGAGTATTGAGCAAACACACTGCTACTGCAGCTTTGCTAATGTATCCCACACTGTGTGTTGAAACTAAAAGCAGGTGTTGATATACATGGGTAGGACAATACGATATCTCTACAGCCTATTTTACACAATCACTATAATAAAGTTGATGCTTCACAATTCTTTTCAATTGAACATAGAAAAGTCGGCATATACAGACTTCGGTAGCAAATGTCGACTTTCTTCCTCTGTTTTACTAGCCTACTTGTCTCCACCTATATTGGGGAAGTGGTGGTGATTGTGTTTATGTGTGTTTAAAAATTGGCTAAAATAACAATGTATGTCTGTTGGGAATATGCCATGGTGGAATGTTTAAAGTGACCAACAATGTTGCATCCCACTGCAACAGTGTCGGCAACACTTCGCTGTGTGAGCAGACACCCTTATTCGCTACCAGCTTGAGTCGTTTCTTCCTTAGCGCAACAGCGTACATCAGGCTAACAACACTTGGTAAAAGGTGTCATCAGATGTAATTTTAGGCTGTTTCTTTTGGTCCATCTATCATTAAATTAACACATCATGTAAAGGAAAACAGGCATTTTCAAGTTATGTTAAAA